CTTTGGACACAGGCTGCAATGACAGCGTCTCCTCGGGGCTCCGTGCTGCCAGACAGGTAGATACCACAGGTAGATACCACGAGTCCAGGGGCACTGTCTCCCATGGCATTAACATTCACTCATATCAGCTTTGGAGGGTTATGTTCAGGTTGGGAGGAAAATGGTCTTAAGATTTTGGAAGCCGGGTGTTTACTCTCTCCTGCTGTGCTGTTGGAATTCGTGCTGGGGCACAGTGCATTTGACTCTTTTGTGTGCTTTTATTCCTGTTTGTAAGTCACAGAGAGTTTGGAGTCAGTGCACTTCAGGGGAAAGTGTGAGGGGTTTTAGTATTTCTGCCCGTTCTGAGTTGTTGAGATGTTTTTGAATGAAGGTGTTTCAAGTGCTATTCCAATATATTCCAAATATTCCTTGCGGTACACATCTCCCAGAGAAGCAGCACAGGGCGAAGGACAACAGGCAGTATGTTGCACCTGTAAATACTGTCACTGCCAAAAAGCCAGGCAATTTTTATTTTGTTTATATTTTTCATCTTAGAAAAATGGCAATATTGAACCAAGGCTGAGATCTCTTGAAGATCCAGATCCTGTGGACGTCAAAGCACTCTCCATGGGATGGGTTGTTAATTAAACTATCAGCTGTTTGCCTGCAGTATTTTGATTTGTGTGGCAAAATTGCCATGTTTTGCTTTGTGTTGCAGTGTTGACATGACTGGGTATAAGTACGGCATGCTTTGGCTCTTAGCATCTTACCCCATACAGTGTTATTTTACACTTCTGTAATTGACGCATTTAAAAATCCATCTTTTAGAATCAGTTTCAGAGAAACTAGAAACATTAGTCCAACATACACTGTTGTCAAATGATTTGTTTTTTTCAACTGAATTTACTTAAAGTGATTCACGGATTAAAATTTCTGCCCTCAGTTAGGTTTTAGCTGAGTGACTTGCTTGAGTAACAAAACAGATTGTATTCCACGTTAACTCGTGGTGTAATTTCATGAGTGCCAACATCTCTCTGTAAGTGAATTTATTGGCCTTGTTCCACCGTGCTGTTGTTCTTTTTTTCTGGGAATGGTGATCCACATCTTTCAGTGAGACTTCTTACGATAGAAGTCCCAAGCCCAGGGTGAGGATGGCAGAGTCTGGCCTCACAAGTCTGGTTTAAGCAGCTGCGATGGCATTACAGGAATAAATCATATCAATACTGATTGTAATTCAGGAGAACCTTTGAGATTGCTATCAAACAATTTCGTTTCAAGATAAAGCTATGATGCGCTCTGTTCTTTTAGACAGACTTTTCAGCTGTGAGGGCTCTATGAAAGAGTGTGCAGGTACAAAAGACATGAACACATAAGGAAGTATGAACAGTCAGAGCATCAGTTCTGCTAAAAGCCCTGAATATCAAATGGACAGTCCTTTCTGAGCACCTGTTACAGGCTGTCATCAGGAAAACTTCACCACAGGGCCTAGTCTCTGTTACACCGGCTCCTTCCTGGAAACCAGACTGTGGGACAGGGCATTGCTGTCTGCAGAGCTACATGTGACATTCAAAGAGCCTTTGTATGCAAATAAAGACTATCTTGGGACACTAATACATGTACAGTTACCAAAGACAGCAAAATAGAATCCTGTCCAATGGGATATGTGCTCAGAAGAGGCAGAGGCTACGTATCATTTAGTTAGAAAGACATTTGTGGTTAATCAGGCACTAAAACCACTGCAAGTTCAGTGTTAGAAGCACCAGTAATTTTAACAATATACTGTCATGCTGAGGCAAACTGGAGCTCGAAGGTTGCATGGTACTAAATGAGTGCTAGTCAGTCAGAGCAATTAGCTCTTTAAGCTTAATTCTCTTGTACATTAATTACAAAGCAAGGTGTAAGCCTATTTAACCTGTAATAAAAATCCCTGTTGCCTCATGGGAGCAGTGGCAGGAAGATCCCCGTCGTGTTTGATCCCCTGATGTTGGCAAGATTCTGTGAGGATAAATGAAGTGTATGATGTCAGGATATGCCTATTTTTGTAAAAGTCACAGGACAATGCGATACAAATTACAGCTCTTGTAAAAAAATCCCTGTTGCCTCATGGGAGCAGTGGCAGGAAGATCCCCGTCGTGTTTGATCCCCTGATGTTGGCAAGATTCTGTGAGGATAAATGAAGTGTATGATGTCAGGATATGCCTATTTTTGTAAAAGTCACAGGACAATGCGATACAAATTACAGCTCTTGTAAATAGGGCCTGAACAAACAAACAAACAAAAATCATTCCTTCTTCAATGGTCCAAAGCTGAGAGTATAAAGAAGTAGCTGACCCTCTCATTGCATAAAAGCAGTCAGGGATGCTGTTAAATGTTCTTATTGGAGTTAGGATTTGGAGAGCAAGATGGGATTGTAAAGGGATTTTTGCCCAGGAGTGAAAATAAAATGTCTTAGCTACCTTGGGTGAAACGAGCTGTTCTGAAATCCCCATGGCCTGAACAAACAAACAAAGAAAAATCAGGGGATACTCATTCCTTTTTCAGTGGCCCAAAGCTGAGAGTATAAAGAAGTAGCTGACCCTCTCATTGCATAAAAGCAGTCAGGGATGCTGTTAAATGTTCTTATTGGAGTTAGGATTTGGAGAGCAAGATGGGATTGTAAAGGGATTTTTGCCCAGGAGTGAAAATAAAATGTCTTAGCTACCTTGGGTGAAACGAGCTGTTCTGAAATCCCGGATAAATGTTTAAATTTTGTCTGTGTTTGGAATAAGTAGGGAAGAGGTTGATGCTTGGAGGAAAGGTAACAGTTTTGATTATTAGCTGTCAGGTTGCTGAAGTGGCTGTAGCAGTGTTAACATATTAGGAATGTAGTATGTTCTTACAATTGGAAATTAGGCTCTAATCTAGGCTCCCTTTCTCACGAGAGGCTGGACAGGATGATCTTTTGAGGTCCCTACTGAGCTATTCGATGATTTTGTGATATTACATCACTTCTGGATCCTGCAAGGACATGAATTTACAATCAAAATCGACATCTGACATAAACCTACAGCTGGATACAGCTGTGCACTACCAGCACCTCTGTGTACACATCCAGATGGATAAAGAAATATAATCCTGGTAGAATCAGTTCTGGAATTTCAGACGAGCAAATTAAGCTCTAATCTAGGCTCCCTTTCTCACGAGAGAAATTAGGCTCTAATCTAGGCTCCCTTTCTCACGAGAGGCTGGACAGGATGATCTTTTGAGGTCCCTACTGAGCTATTCTATGATTTTGTGATATTACATGACTTCTGGATCCTGCAAGGACTTGAATTTACAAACAAAATCGACATCTGACATCTACCTACAGTTGGATACAGCTGTGCACTACCAGCACCTTTGTGTACACATCCAGATGGATGAAGAAATATAATCCTGGTAGAATCAGTGTTGGAATTTCAGAAGAGCTGAAATGCATTCACTGCATACGTGCATATATTTGCATGTATACAAATGTGACTGGCTGAGGTCTGCAAATTCATTCCAGGAAGTAGACAAAGCAGAAGGAAGTGTTACTGTCAGTAATAGTAATAGGATTTTGTAAGGAGATAGGAGATAGAGAATCTGGTTTAACTGTGCTTTCCTTTATTAGTCCAATATGCAGCTAGAATAGCACTACTATTCCCAGCTGCTTGTTGTTTTTCCTTAGGAAAATATGTAGATCTGTTCCATATGTATGGCAGAAAAGGGACTAGAGCTCTTCATTATGGATTAGACCACAGCTAACAAGCCAGCCAGCATGGACCCAAGGCCGACATACTCTGTTAGAGTATTCCTCTCCACAGTCCATACCCAGAGACTACTTTACTTCATCCTTCTTCATCCCCATCATCAGCAACAACCCATATTGATTTTACTAGCCAGCCAGCTGGGAAACCAAGAGCAGTCCCTCTCAGGTGTTCCAGCCTGGGCTTGGGGTACGTTGCCTGCGTTAGTCCCCAGCAGTCTTGCAGGTTTGGGCTGGTGTTAGTGCTGTGCTTGGCTTTTTGACTTTCATACATACTGAGGTTAATGTGTTTAACTTAAAGCACCTCTGCTTTACAGCTGACATGTTGCTATATCTCTGCTTCTCCTGTTTTGCCAAAAGAGCACTTTTGTGGAAATTGGGAAATTTCCTCATCGAGAAAATTGCTGTTCTGAGACACTAATTACAATCCTTGTGTGACACAAGTGACCATCAATACTGTGTTTAAGAGGGACTGTTTAGAAATCCTTTTCCTAACTGCTCCATAAGCAAAGAGAATGATATATTGATTAATTCCCATGCCAAAAAAACCATTATTTTTTTATGGATTCATGTGGTCATGTTATTCCCAGTAAGCAGTAAGGTTGGATTTAAATACATTTCTCTTTTCCATCAGAACAAACCCTCTCATGTATTAGATCGCCTGACAGTTGTTTGACAGGCATAAATGAATAACCAACACATTTTTGTCTCTTCAGTACTAGAATGATGGAGGGAAAATAAAAAGGAAAACTCTGCTTGTTGCTATGTTGGTTTTAAAATAGCCAATTAAATTCAGGCATAGGTAAATTTCCTAAAGCTGGCTTGCATGCTTTAACCATATTAAAAAGCTTTTGGAGTTTGAATCACCCCTGTAACACCTTTTATAAGGTTAGTCTGGTGGAAAGCTTATATTTACCTCCTTCTTGTAAGTTGTTTTCTTATTTTATGTGAATGTTCAAAATTTCTCAGAGCACTGTCACTTTTGTGCAGCAGCTCGCTCTGGGAGCTGCTTATAATGGGGGGTCTGTATTTAGCTGAGTTAGCTTTGTTAGAAATACGAGGATTTAAATGAAGAAGTGCTCTCTGACTAGAGCTCTCAAGAGTTAACTACTGCAGAATCACAGTATAGCTCCAAAATAGAAAGCAGAGGATTAGCATGTGACTGTTCTTCTGCTGCCTTCCCAGCAAGGCTTCTGTTAGCAGCCAACAGCAGCTGCAGATAAAAATAGCAGGTGATAAACAGCTAGGATTTTCAGTTAAACACACAAGTCCCTCTCCATGACGGCAAGGAGTCCAGAGCAACAATGAAGTCCCTCCGATTCATTAGCGCTGAAGCACTCGTCTCGAATGCAGAGTTCGCCAGGAAGAGTCTCGGCAGCGTTGCCCATAATCTTTTTCCTCTTCTTTTTAAAGCCAGCTATTTACTGGAGCAAGGGGAAGTGATACGCGACTTGGTAGAGAACTGGCCGTTTGTGGACTTGAATGTGGGAAAACTTTTGGGAACTACTGTGGACTGCCAGGAAGACCTGAGCCATAGGACATGCTCCGTGTGCTTGGAAAGCTGTCTGACGGGGCTGAGAGACTACGTGCTGAATGATTCTTCTCCCTACATGAAAAGGTTGAAAGTGGTCGACCTGACGGGGATAAAAGACGTTGAAGTTCAGGTTTGTGAGTGCAAGAAGACAATGGGCAGGTGGGCCAGGACACAGCTGCTCTCTAAGCTTTGTTTAGAACTGCTGGTTGACCTCCAACACAGACAGTGCGATCCAGGTATCTTTGAAATGAGTATTGACGTGCGAATCGACTTGTTTGTTACAGAGAGGAACTATGAGCTGGTCATGCAGGCCCTGTTGAAGAAATGCTACTGTCCACTGAAGATCTGCTGCGTGGCATTCAGATCTGACAACCTGGCCTTGCAGAAATTCTTCTATATCATAAAGCTGATTGATCCCTCGTTGTTGCGCAAACTGGAAGTCGTTCACAACGTCCGCCTGGAAATGGAACACTTGGAAATGCTCTTCAACAGTATCCACTTCCCTCTGCTGATGTCCTTGACCTTGCCAGCACGAACATTCAACGCGCGGAGGTTCACAGCTACAGATGAAGAGATGCTGACTAACATTGGAGAAAAGATGGGTGAAATGACACAACTGACCGAGCTGAGCATGTCATTTTCTATACTCACGGGAAGAATACAGAAACTGCTCAGGTAATTTGGTCATCCTGCTTTCAGTCAAACTGTAAAGAACAGCCCTTTGTGCCATCAGCAAGCTGAGAATCCCTGAGAACAAGGGGGAGTGAGTATATCTATGATCTCAGGGTACGTGTGAGTAGGGGCAGCAGGAAGCTAGGAAAGAGTATTTGTTGGGGAGAACTGGAAGGCAGTATCTAATACCTTTAGAAGAACTGACTATTCTAAGTAGTCTTCCAGAGCCCATCTGATGAGTATGAAGAGAATATACTTTTGGCTACCACATAAGAGAGGAGTACACCCTGGGCTGCCCAGGGAGGTGGTTGAGGCACCATCCCTGGAGGTGTTCAAAAGACGGGTTGATGTAGTGCTGGGAGGTATGGTTTAGTGATGGTGATGCTTCTTGTTTGTTGTGTGGGTGTCTATTTTTGTCAGTTAGGTTGACGGTTGGACAAGATGATCTTTAAGGTCCCTTCCAACCTAGAAGATTCTGTGGTTTTTGATTTGCCCCATCTTGAGCTTGTAGAGCTTGTATCTCAATCAGCTTAGGCTGGCCTTTGGTGCAAGACCTGAGTCATATTCCAAGTATTTTTCAGGGTCTCTGGTGAATTTTTGTCTTCTAAAAACCAGGCAGTAAATACACTAAGATTCTACAGATACTGTATTTGTAGGTGGCCAGGGTGATAGTAGACTTTGATTTCAGTTGTTTGTTGTGTCTGTCAACCTCAAGGCAAGAGAGATCCGATGTTTTTCTGTACTGCAAATTAAACATCTGAATATTCATGATGAATGCCTGGGAAAAATTGGCAATTCTCCCAAAGATAGCAAGGTGCCAGTGAACAGTGTTCCTATTTGAACAGAAAATAAGTTACCTGAATGCTTTTCAGAACATCTGAGAGAAAAAAAAAAAGAAAAAAGGCGGCAGACAAAAGTTTAATCAAGACAAATCACCTTGGTCTAAAATTCCTCCTGTCCAAAGAAGTCACTTCATTTAAAAGTTGTGAATGGCACACTGCTTAAAATGATAGAAATAAATCACAAGTTTCTAATCTTGATCTAGATGAGGTCTGTGGCAAAAGTCTCACTAAGATTTAGTATGGGTGAAAGGGATCTCTTGATTTTCATGTCAGAACTATTTCATATTCAACTAGAATATTTGCACATAATCTCAGGTACAGGTCTTCTATCCTCCTTCTTCATTAGGAAGTCTCTTTGCAACTCCAGAACAATGCGACATGTAAAACTCTTGGGCATTTAAAAAACAGTAGAAACAAAACTAGAATCCAAAGCAGATATCTTGTTAGAATACTGATTGGAATGAATCCTTCCTTAATGGAACTTATCATCTTGTTAGAATACTGATTGGCTTTCATTTTGGAATGAATCCTTCCTTAATGGAACTTATATAAATAACAGCTTTCTCCAAGAAACAGCCACCAATGCTTTTGTGGTAGTAACAGTCTGCTGTTAATTCAGGAAATAATAGACACCTGACAACATATAACTGGTTACAAAATGGACACATAGAATGTTACCAAATTAATCACCATTAAAACACCACAGTTGGAGACACGTAAAGTAGAAGAAAATTCCTGGAACTGATTTCAGGAGGAAAATATACTTGTCATTGTTGGCCCATGGTTCTATTTCTCAGAAGAGGTTAGAAAAAATAATGAATGTGGTGGATGGCTGCATTCATAACGTGGATAGTTGTATGAAATGTTGTAAATGTAGCTTTTCAATGTTTTATGCCATATATTTTTTTTTTAATTCTGCAGCCCACTAAAGACTCCACTGAAGATGCTGGATGTTTCTAACTGCTCATTGAACCATGCTGATATGGCCTATTTAGCCAATAGCTTCCATGCTAATCACTTAGAAGTCCTGGACCTGAGTGGTCACAACATACCTGACCTCTACCCATCAGTATTCTTTAAACTTCTCAGCCATTCCTCTTCAGTGCTCAGGAGTCTTACCTTGGAGGACTGTAACATCCAAGACACTCATGTCAACATGTTGATTGTAAGTTTAAGCCCTTGTCAGAAACTCCAGGAGTTTAGGTTTCTTGGAAACCCGCTCTCATCCCAAGCGCTTAAACACCTTTTCACGTTTCTCTGTGAGTTGCCAATGTTGAAAAATGTGGAGTTCCCCGTCCCGAAGGACTGCTACCCTATTGGTGTCACCTACCCAATCGATGACGCCAGTCTCTGCAGATTTGATCACCAAAAATATGAAAGTGTAGCAGAGGAGCTTAACCTCATTTTACTCCAAGCAAATAGAGAGGACGTGAAGACTTCAACTCCCCTCTTTGGCAGTTATGACGCAGCTGTTCAGGAGACGAAGAACGAACTGGGAGCTTACTTGATCAATTCCTTCAAAGAAACTTTAGAAAAGTTCACTAGTTCTCTTAACAAAATGAGTTAAAGGTGTAACAGTGGTGATGAGATGCTCTGTCAAATCAGAAATTAAGTTAGTCTTTTCTAGAAATGTGCCTTTGTCAATGAGTCTTGAGTATTCTTTAATTTCTTGGCTGAGTTTACTGCTGTTTGGATAACATCTGAGGTGTTTTAACTATGCTATATCTACTGCATAACCTTACATAAGCACTGCTTACTCTCAAAAGAGGGGAAGACCCTTGGTAGCTTATTATTTTATATAACACAAAAGCACTTTGGTTCTCACTAAATCAATAGGTCTTCAAGCTTTGTTGATTTTTTTAATGCAGTTTCCTCTGGATTTGGCAGAGAGGCTCGTGCTCCTATAGAGAACACAAAAGCACTTTGTTTCTCACTAAATCAATAGGTCTTCAAGCTTTGTTGATTTTTTTAATGCAGTTTCCTCTGGATTTGGCAGAGAGGCTCGTGCTCCTATAGAGAAGATGGGAAAGTCCTTTTCCAAGTCCAGCAGAATGTTCCAAAGATTGTGTGCCTGTCTCCACCTATGGCTCCCTAAACCAATGTTGTTTTTTGCCCTTGGCCTTCTGAATTCACCAGCCTGTTTTACACCATATATTCCCAATAGTGGGGGATGTATGATACCCTCCATGTCCCTCTGCCTCTCTTTTCTTCTGCAGAGGCAAGCACAACAAACCTATATATTTTTTTTGGCACGGGGAATTACAGAGGTTGTCTAATACATTGTGCTGGTGAGGAGTCAAGTTCTGTACTGAGGAGGCCAGCAAACCAAACGAGGGGCTGACAGCAAGGGATTCCTTCCCCCAGTAAAATCAAGCAGCCTGGGAGGACTCTGCCCAAGCTCTTGCAAAGTGTATTGTACGAGGGCAGCGCTGCGTGCTGGTGAGGAGTCAAGTTCTGTACTGAGGAGGCCAGCAAACCAAACGAGGGGCTGACAGCAAGGGATTCCTTCCCCCAGTAAAATCAAGCAGCCTGGGAGGACTCTGCCCAAGCTCTTGCAAAGTGTATTGTACGAGGGCAGCGCTGCACAGCCACGTGATGTCTGTCACAGGTAAGTGCCTCACGCTGCTCCCTTTGTTGAACCACATTCTTGGCTTGTAGAACGTACCCTGCTGCTTTTAGCTGCTTTAAAGGAAGTCTAGGGCAGTGATAATAATGAAAAAAAAAGACTACATGTCGAAAACACATGTAGAAAAAATGAATCCAATGCCAATTTCACAAATGTGGAGAAGGGACGAGGCGGTTCACTGACTAACTAGATGTTCTGCCCTCTTCAGCCAAGACTGTGTATTGTTCTGCTGCAGAATTACAACCAGTGCCTGGAAGAATCACATTTATTTTGCAAGCTCCAGTGCATAAATGTATTTGAGTGGCAGAGTAAACAGCACCCCAGCCCCCCTGCCCCACACACAGTGTGCTGGAACGTGGGTAAAGGGGCCAGCAGAGTGTCAGGGGGCAGCAGCAGGGCCACAAAATAAGCCTGGGGAGAGTACTATAATGGGGAGGGAATCCCTGAGTAGTAGGCAAGTCTCATGGTCTACTCAGCTTCCCACCTGGAATACTGCAGACAGACCAAAGAGAAAATATTGGCAAATCTTAACTATTGTAAGGCACTTCGAGATCTCTGCGGACAACTTCTTTCAACTCTACCACCAGAGCCCAAACTCTTCTGATATAGAAGCAGAGATTTCGTTAGTTTCTAGGTGATGCAAAAAAAAAACAACAAAAAAAACCTGCTCAGGTTAATGCCCAGCACTGTGCCATTAAATATACTTTAACAGTTCACAAAAGCTTGATTAAACAGCACTGAAAGTGAATGTTGTAGCAGGAACTGAGGTATCATTGCAATAGTAAAGATAATTATTGGGATAACAAAGGCAACTTACTTGAAATAATGGTGGGTCCCATCACCTGAGGGTAAGGAAGAAACTTTCTTTGTTTAGGCAGTGTGGTTTGTGAAGCTTTCTGTTTATCCACAACAATATGAAAGCAGCTACTAACCTAGTTTACAAGAAAAAAATAAATTAGTGGGCTGTGTACTGAGCAGGGCTTGCAGGTTCCACAGCATGTATTTAAATGATTTTTTTGATGTCTTCTTGGCATATGTTCTTCCTTCTTGCATGTTTTATTGATTAAATATATGACGGTAAGAGTGAAAGTGAATGCAGGTGACCAGTTTATGTTTACAGAATGCTGAAAAAATAAAAAAAAAGTAGCCTAAGTTGCTGAGCTAAGCAGCTGTGATGTAGAAAATGCCAGAACTAGGTTCCATATGGTCTTGCTTCTATCTGGACAGAGTTCCATATGCTCCCTTGTCCTTGCCTCTGCTCTTTACCTTTCTGTCCCTCTGACCTTGACGTTCTTTCCAGCCTAGATTTGACCCATGACTTCTCAGCCAGACATAAGTGGTTTGAATTTTGCTAGGCCAAGGATCTACTCCTTAGGGATGAGGAGTGGCACTTCTTGTTGCTTGGAGAGGATGTGCCATGTACAGCAGCTGCAAACCTTTGTGTAGTGATTTTTCCACCTGCTCAGCGTGGCCAACTAGGAGGTGTACCTGGGGGTGAAGGCTGGCTGTTCTGGCAGCATGTTGTGTTACAACAACAGGTCCCTGCTTGTTAATAGCTGTCTATTTAGCTCTTATTTTACAATATTTAGATGTCTTTGAGAAGATTACTGCTTATGCAGCTATCTCTGCTTTCTCCTTGCCTAAAGCCAGATCTGGTCCACTCCTTTTTTTATTTCCTCCTCCTTCTTCTTCTTCTTCCCACAGACTACTACCTGTCTTCCATTTTCAGTCTTACATATACATGCTGTCTATCTATGACTCTCTGGGCCAGGAGGAGAATGTAGAGGCCATAGTTTGGGTTTTAGTGCCCAGTGAGGATCAGCACTGTGTCTGTTTCAAATATTACCATTGACCTTGGAGTATGGAGGGCACTGCACTACAGCAGTGGTGCGTGCGGATCGCTTCATGCAGAATAGCTGTGACTGACTGCCAAAGAGCTGGAGCACACGGATCCATGTGCAAAAAGGATTTGGATCCTGTTCCTGGCAGAAGCATGCAGACATTTTCAAAGTTTTGTGATTTTTCTAAAGGGCATTTGGATAGGATTAAAGCAAAAGTTTTGTTGTTTACAGTTGCACGTTAAAATTTCACTGTGTGAACTATAGTATTAACTGAAATGCTTAACAGGTTTATCAGAATTTTGAATAGTATTGAATCCAAAAAGCTGAACTGCAATAAAACAGTGCAGAATATGACAACAGTATTTGAATGGCACAAAACTATATTTACCTCAGAACTTGCTAGGAGAAAATGTTGTGTTTTGGGTGTGGAGGGATTTGTACCCTTTTGTAATGGAATCAGATATTTTGTCTCTCTTGAATCACACAATTTCCCACTTTAGAGCCAACCTGTTCCAAGTTCTGAAGAACCTGAGAGCAGCTGCATGCAACTACCTTTGCTGTGGTGACAGGTGCTCCTTTGTGGAAGTCCTGTCCTGAGCTCTCACCTATCCTACCTTTGGCTCTTGAGTTTCTTTCTAATTATGGTTGTTATTGTTGATTTTAAATACAGGCCAAGCTGTAGCATTTTGGTGTACTGCAACACGGATGTGTGCCATCTCTCAGGAGGACTCCTGCATCTCTTCTGCCCCAGCAATGCTGATTATGGTTTGGGCCTGCTCTGTCTTCCTTTTGCCATGTGTGTGGGACTTGGCATTCTGCTACTAGAGAAGACAGACTAATGCTGTAACTAATTAAGCATATGAAGTTACCTTATACTTCACAAGTGCAACCAGCTATTGATTTAATCCTGCCTTGTGTTCCCTGTCTTTCTGATTTTTATCAAGCTGGAGCTATGCAGTTGATAATGCCAGTTCAATCAGACCTTTTACATACAGTAGAAGGGGAGAAAGTCCCTGTGGTGTGCGAGAGGAATATATTAGGGAAAACTGTTTGGGTTTTTCCTGCCTCAGCCAAAGGCAAATGCATTTGTGGGACTGTTTTTGCTCAAGGACCTGGATGTACTTGGTGGTGATGGTGAAGAGTGGAGAAGTTCAATGTGTACCCCAAGGAAATTTGACCCTGGGTGAAAATACTTAATTCAGAGCTATACGGTGTTAATTGATATATAATACTAATCGTGTTCAATAAGTGTTTTTCAGGGTAACATAATAATGATGAAACCTGAGCCAGCTTCATCAAATGGCATCCAGCAAGACTGTTGGAGATGGACATGCTACTCGTGGGCACAGACCACAATGAATTTCATCCGTCTTTCCTACCCTGCGAATCTGCTATTTTGGGTGGAATCCCGCAGCTATGAACTGAATGGACTTAGTGAACTTTTGTATATAAAGATAAATCACAAATGAGTAACCTGCATCCATCCATCCATCATCTATCTATCTATGTGTATAGATTTGATAGATAAAAATATTAGCAGCCTGAGCACAACACAAATGGTATGAAATAATGGATGGAATGTCCCAGTTTGAGGTAGGACAGAACCAACTTTCTGTTCAGTAATTTTACTTCTTAGCTAGGCCTCTTCTAACTCTCTGAAATTAACAGCATATTGTGTAGAAAACTGTTCATTCTCAGAGTGAATGTGCTTATAGTTAATGCCAAGAAATGGTATGCAGAGAGGCTCTTGCTTATACTTACTGCTACAACAGCCAAGGTCAGCTAATTTTGTTATTTGCCCTATTGGAGGGTTGGAAATGGAAAAGCATAGAGGGGTCCCTACCTGCAGGGAGGAGCAGAGAGGACAGGTGACTCAAAACTGACCACCAGGGGTATTCCATCCCATTTGCCCCATGCTCAGTAAAAAAAGGCTGATGCCTTGATCCCTCAGCTTTTGTCTTCAATGGCTGACATCCGTGGAGGACCTTGTCTGTGCATCTGCCTTTGTGCCTTTGATCTAGATCCCTGTGTTCCTGACTCCAGATCTGGAACCCAGTTCTCACCCACTGCTGAGTCCAGTCTGGGACTTCCCCAATGCCTGCTGGTGAGGTCATCCTTAGGAGCTTGATGTGGTTTTGTATATACTGTATCTATTTGATTATTTTCTTTTTATTTTACTATAACTATTTTGTTAAAGTAGTTTAGTTCCTTCTGAACTCCTAAGTCTCTTTATCTTTCTTCCTCCTCTCCTTGGAACAAGGGATGGAGGGAGAGCATCTGTCGTCTCATCATTGGCTAGTTCAGCCTAAAACACGACAGGGTCTAAGAATATTGCCTCAATGGGACACACATGTTGAGTTTACAGAACCAATAAGAAAAATAAATAAGAAAAATCAAAAAGAAATTACCTTTGATTTAAGCAAAAGCAGTTGAGAGC